ATATACATATATATATATATATATATACACATTTTTGAAATATTTGACAATATGCTAATCTGCATCTATAATATTATCTATTATTTTTTATTTTTTAAAAAAGAATTCGAAGATGTAGGTTAGAGTTTGAGGAGAAAGAATATCAAAAGTGCTCCTAATTAATAAGTGAGTTTGGGGAGAGGGGAATAGATTTTGAACCCGCGCGAAGCGCGGGCGAAAAAAATAATAGCGTATATAGAAGTACTAATTTTTATTTAAAAAATTAATATTAAATTTAAATTGAAAATTTAAATATTAAATATCGAGAAGATGCAACAAATAACGCCTTTTCTGAATCTTTTTTTAAAAAGATATTTCTTTTCGAGTGTAACATTTTTAATATTCTTCATACAATTTAGGGTACAATTTTAATATTATTTTCCTAACGCGAGCGTGAAATGGGCCACTTTTCGCGCTTGTTTTGAGTGAGCAAAACGATCCATTTCGCAATGATGACGTAAGCGTTGAAACATGGAGCCATTTCTCAACTAGTGGAGAAATGAAATTGTAAAACAAGCGCGAAAAGCGGCCTGTTTCACGCTCTTGTTAGGAAAAATAGTATGAACAACTCGTGGGAAGAGTGGTCGAGCCCAAATGAGTCTGATGGTCGCATGAGCGAAGCGAGTGCGACCAACTTCACACTCATTCAGAATTGACCACTTTTCCCACTAGTTGTACAATATACTATTCTTACATTAAATTTCTTTAATGTAAAAACATAAACGAATATAAAAAATATATACGCGTATACGCGACGTATACTACACAAGACAGGAAACATTAACACAGTATTGTGCGTTACATAAGACAAAGATTTAAGGAATAAAACACTGCCTTAAGGTTATAAGACAGCCATTCTGCTTAGGCCCTAAAGACCAGTTTCACAAGTGTCGGTTAACTTTTAATCTTAGATTAACTCACTCTTCGTTTTTTTCTAAGAGGGACGTTAGAAGGAGGCAAAGAGTGAGTTAATCTAAGATTAAAAGTTAACCGACACTTGTGAAACTGGGTCTAAGAGTGTGAAGAAGTTGACTTATCAAGAAACCAGTGAACTCTGTATCTTAAGTAGACCATAGCCAAAACTTCTAATGAAACAAAAATCGCTTTATTGACCTTGTTCATCTCTCGTCCAAGCTAGAGCAGGGGTTTATCGAAATAAACGCGCGCCATTAAAAAAGCAAATAAAACTAAAAAGTGCAGAATTTCTCCAAAAATGCGAAAGAAATTACATAACAATTTATTATTAAAGCGTGTTAATACAAAAATGATAATTGATAATAATTAATAAAAATTAACAATGTTAATAATTATAACAATTAATAAACATTAATATACTTTAATTATTATTATTAATATTAAATAATATTTAATAATTAGTAATAAATATATAAATATTAATACATATTAATTACTAGACAAAAAAACAATCAAAAGAACAATAGACCGAAATAGGCTAAAGCACATCTATAACTTAACTTATACTACGTTTGCGCGAGCGTTACTTCTGTAGTAACTTACGATATAGGCCAGTCATATTAGACATCGAATCGTTCAATTAATCTTCCCAGGTTGCAACCACCATGAATCGCTTTGATTTGAGGTGCTATAAGTGGGATTTATTTTGCCTCGCAAAATTAACGCGGAATAAAAAGTTATTAACAATATTATCAACAAAAAAACGCGATTTTTTTATTTTTTATCAAATATCTCGAAAACTAAACAAGATAGGGTAACTAACTATATAATACGTACCTTTTTTTGTAGAGCGTAAAATTATCTACAATAATGATCTGAACAACATTGATCGTCAAGTCTGTCGTTTAGCTTGCACGCGCCGTCAAACTCCGAGACTCGAATCCCAAAAACCCTCGATTTCATCGTTTTTTTAATGTTGCGCCGGTAATTTTTTTCCGTCATTTAAAATGGAATTAAAAATCCCCCAAAAATCACACATTATCTGAGAACTACAAAGAATACTTTTCATGATGCAACCGTTTTTTAGACCCTTTTTCTTAGTTTGTAGCTATATGTAAGCAAAAAATTTTGACTTTTTGATGATACACTTGAATGAATTATTATACTTGTTGGTACTTTATACTCATCAACTATGGAATTAATGCACGGTGTCCGTCACATCCTTCACTCGTATAACTACTATTTATATTTTGTTTACTTACGATAATTATGTGCAATTTTTGATAATAAACTTTCGTAAGTTAAGAAATAGAAAAACACGTTCTATCAAGCAAAATAATCATAACTTCTGTATACAAAATAAAAAGAAAACCAAATGAATGACAAAATAAAATCAATATTTTATATAAATAAAGTTAATAATTTCTTGCAAATTAAATTCAGCGAATTGAAATGAAACAAACTTAACCATTTAATTGTGTAGATTAAATTGACAAAAGAACCCCTAAAACTAAAATATTTTACAAAACACACGCACGCACGCACGCACACACAAATAAATAAATTTAGAAATTTATAGTTGGCGCTAAAATTGTTACAATATTGTTTAAAGAATTATAAGTAGGGGGAGTCCGAGAGACTTGACCATAGAGGAGAGTTGAACCACTTCAAATAGTTTAAATTTTGAACAAAGAGCTCAATCCGAGCACGTGACAATATGACGCTTGGTAGTGCGTTTCGACTGTGAGTGAGACAAACGTGTTTTAACGTGCTCGGATTGAGCTCTTTGTTCAAAATTTGAACGAAATATTTGAAGTGGTTCAACTTCTCCTCTATGGTCAAGTCTCCCGGACTCCCCCTACATTCAGGATAAAAGTATTTTCATTTTACAATTTTATTAAATAACGCACGAAACAGATATTTTTTTAAATAAGAGATGCAAAAATAAATAAATTTTTGAAAAAATTATTTGTTGCGGTTAAATCACATAAATGTTCTTATTATAAAATTTTGCACACATGTAGGGGGGAGGAGGGTAAAAAGATGAATTTAGAAATGTTTTGTTGCTGCCAAAAAATGATTCTAAAGGGTGAAATCACTCGTCATATGTAGAGCGGCTTTTTGTTTTTCTCGATATATTTCGGAAAGTATTCAAGATATCAAAAAATGTTTCAAATAAAACTTTTATTTGAAAACATCTTTATTCAACCACATTAATAAATATTTAAAAAAATTTTTTTTTTTTAATTTTTAATCAAAATTTTGTTTAAAAAATTATTTTTAAAAAATAATATTAATGTTGTCAAATAGAGGAGATTTTACTGTAAAACTTTTATAAGAAATATTTTTTTATATCTCAAATATTTTTCGAGATATATCGAAAAAAGCAAAAAACCGCTCTACTATGAGCAGTGGTTTTACCCCTTAATACCGTTTTTGGGTAGCTACAAAAAATATCTAAATTCATCTTTTTACTCCCCCTACATATGTGGAAAGTTATATTAAAATCAGAATTTTCCACTTCGCGAGGTTCCCTTATAAGTGCATTTTAAACTGCACTTTAACTCCGTATTTTATTTATTATAAATTTTTTCAGAGCCAAAATGGAAAATTCGGTTATGTACCGGATTGCGGCTGATGTTACTGATTAAAACGAGCATAATTTTAATGAGATTTGTTAATTAATTGGCTAAACTTTGGGAAAAACCATTTGTAGTTCACGGCTACAAATGGTTTTTCCCAAACTTTAGCCAAATTAATTAACGAATCTCATTAAAATATTATGCTCGTTTTCATCAGTAAGATCAGCTGCAACCCGGTACATAGCCGGATTTTCCATTTTGGCTCTTAAAAATTTATAATAAATAAAATACGGACTCGCAGCGAGTCGTAGCTAAGCCGGGACAGTGGGTGCGTTCAGCCGATACTCCGCTAGCCTAGCAATCGTGAGCAGTCGCTCGTTTTCGCTCGTTTCCGCTCGTTTCCTCTCCTTTGACCCAATGGATTAAAAGGAGAGGAAACGAGCGAGCGCTTCTGTCCAGCCAAATTTTTCCGTAGCAAATGGTAGCAAAGCGCTCGCTGCTTACGTGCGCTAGGCTAGCGGAGTATCGGCTGAACGCACCCAGTCTCCACTCTTAACCCGACTCGGGTCGCATCAATGGACGTGAAATACATACATAGATATGTATGTATTCTACGTCAATGATGCTAGAGTCCTGTATACATGATGCGACCCAAGTCGGTTTGAGTCGCAAATCGAAAACGCTATTACTCCTGTCGACCCATCACTATGAATACCGGCCTATGAATACCGGCTTAAAACTGCAATGGCCTTTAAAGGTCAATCCAGACAAACTTGCATAGCGCATAAACATATGCATAAGAGAATTGATTGGTCCATATGCATGTGCATAAGAAAATAGACCAATCCGTTTCTTTATGCATATGGTTATGCACCCATGCAAGTTTGTCTGGATAGACCTTAAGGGCCCGGACACACACTTCTGCACAACGCATAATGCGTAAGCATAAAAAAATTGATTGGTCCATACCCTAAGAGCACAATTGACGGAAAGTCGACGGTAAGTCGACTTTTATAAGTCGACTTCTAGTCGGCTTCTAAAAATGGCAGAAAGTCGACTAATGGAGGATTCACACTGCGTCCGATGTTCGACGTACGACGATCCGACATCCAATAGGAAATTTTTGTCTCTAATAATAAATTCTGTTATTGGATGTCGGATCGTCGTACGTCGAACATCGGACGTGATCGGACGCAATGTGAATCCTCCATAAAAGTCGACTTCTAAATAGGCGACTTCTAAAAATGGCGGAAAGTCGACTAAAAGTCGACTTCTAAATAGTCGACTTATAAAAATCAACGAAAAGTTGACTTTTATAAGTCGACTTCTAGTCGACTTCTAAAAATGGCGGAAAGTCGACTAAAAATCGATTTCTAAATAATCGACTTATAAAAATCAACGGAAAGTTGACTTTTATAAGTCGACTTCTAGTCGACTTCTAAAAATGGCGGAAAGTCGACTAAAAGTCGACTTCTAGTCGACTTCTAAAAATGACGGAAAGTCGACTATAAAAAGACGGGAAACAGTCAAGCGGCGCGTCATGCATCATCAATATGGCGGCGAATCTCGAGGAGGCTGGAGGAGAAAATTAGTGTTTACGCGAGTGCAAGGAATACTTGCCGCGAGACAGGACACGATAAGACGTCGAAAAGCGCCGCGCTATCAACCACCGCCACGAAACGTCGTCGTCGTCGTCGTCATCATTGTCTTCCCGTTGACTTATTCTCGATTAGATCAGAATACTGGAATTTGACTGTATGTATGTTGCAATATGTTTGAGACGCGGTTGTCTACATTGTCTACAACAAGAATTGTTACAGAATGCGGTTACCAACCGACATGGCGGATCTAAAAGAGGATCAGGATAAGGCCAAATGAAAACATGCTTTAGAGGTTAGGTATGGTGTGTTATTAATTATCATCGATAATTAAGACCTATTGAATGCGACCTCTCCATTCTGAACCATCTTTCAGAACACCATCAGAAATGGAGGAACCTGTGTTCATGCATTCTTCGTGCGTTCTACGGAAAATCAGTCCGGAATAGGTGGTTTATAAAAAGGTGTACGAAACGAATAAGATGTATATGCGAGGGGTCACGGCGATAGAACCCGAATGATTGCCGAAATTCGCTTCCACGCTATGCCATCTTTGTGAACCATTGGTTGATCCACCGCCAAGGTATTTTTATCACAATTGTTGCTTTATAATGTTTTTCCTATTTATTTATAAAGATATTAATCTTCATTATGATCGAATATTATTCTCATTTATAGATATAATCAAGGAACCGGCAAGATCACTTGCCGCGTGTCTGGTACATTTGGAAAGGCCGGATGGGCACTACCATCGATGGATATAGAGCATCTGTGGACGGTGTAAAATGGTTCGCGTATTTCTTCTTGGAGGGTCAAGTGTACCCTAAGCTGAAACGATTTGTTCCGTCGCTGCTGACGACACCTGGGAGCATCACCAAGTCATAGGCCAGGTAAATCGTTATTCTATCTCCTTTCGATTTCACGTTGATTCATCGAATAGATTACATCAATTCAATACGATTTTTTCAGGTTAATACCACGCACTCGAGCAATAGTACAAACGCTGCGGTCGCAGGGAGTCGTGTCCAAATACAAACTGCTAGAAATCTGGGGTTTGGATGAAAAATGTGAGATTTTAATTTATAAAATAATATTTAGATATTATCATAGAGTAGACTTCTATACAATACTAGACCGCTGACAGGCATCTCAGCCGTGATGCTTGCCGCCATGTTGATTTTAGTCAAGATATGCTATACTACAGATTCTATACAAGTGGTTTTATACAAGATTTCTATACAATAGTCTGGCATATACAGAATGTCCAAAAGAAAGGGTTTAATACTACAGGAGTAGTGGTTCGATTTCGGCATTCAGTACGCTACACGTTGAAGGCATGACTTACAAACTTATTGATAACATGTACCAATATTTAACACAAAAACATTCGCCGGCTTCGTTATGTACTGTAATAACGAATGCAGATAAACGCACATCATGAGCAACTGAACACCCGATAGTGACTTATTGTTAATTCAATATGGCCGCACCCTTCACTAACACTTGCACCTCGCACTCGCATCAGCTTTTCGGCAGTGCGTCCATAGATGTTAATGGTCTAGTATAAAAGTCTGTGGATATTATATATATTTATAATTTTAGTTCTGTTGTCAGCTTACAAGAAGTGGCTGCCGGAATCCGCGCACGTAGAAGTGGCACAGATATGACGGCACACAGTGGCCGCCTTTGTAATTAAGAATAAAACATTAGGATTGTAATTATACAGTTTTTTAGATAATTAAATTATTTTATATATGAAAAAAAATCGAAATGCATCAGTTTTAGCCTTCCAGCAAAGGGTCGATTGTGTATCTTGAAATAATGAGGTAAAAATTACAAAAGTGAGAAAATTCATTAGCGTATCTACGATTTTATTTATCAAAATCTAATAAAATCTGTTAACTTTTGTCATTTTCACCTCATTTCACGATACACAACCGACCTCCAGACGTACGCAGCGGTTTATTTTATCGACTTTAAAAGTTGGCGGAAAGTCGACTTTCCGTCATGATGGGAAGTCGACTTGAAGTCGACTTCTACCGAAACTAACTTGGCAGAGAAGTCGACTTTTTTAAGGACGAAAGTCGACTTGAAGTCGACTTGAAGTCGGCGAATGTCTCAAAAAACGCCGACTAAAAGTCGACTTTCGTCCTTAAAAAAGTCGACTTTCTGCCAAGTCAGTATCGGTAGAAGTCGACTTCAAGTCGACTTTTTGCTCTTAAGGTACACATGTGCATAAGGAAATAGACCAATCAGTTTTCTTATGCTTACGTATTATGCGTTGTGCAAAAGTGTGTGCTCCCCGTTTAATACGGTCTTTTTATTGGCTGGACGGTGTCCCATGCCGTGAACGCACGTTCGCGGCGAGCGAACGCACTATTGGCGGTGCCACTGCTGCATTATGGCTCCTGCACACAGGACGCGGCAGCGCGGCATTGCGGCAACGCGGCACCGCGGTAACCAATTACCGTCTTGCCTTTCCGTTCTACTTTTGAAAGTAGTACGGAAAGGCAGATGGTGATTGGTCACCGCGTTGCCGCATTGCCGCGTCCTGTGTGCAGGAGCCATATGGCTTCTGCACACAGGACGCGGAAACGCTTGCCGTGCGGCAAGAAGCAACGCGGTAGCCAATAAACTTTTGGTTCTTACGGAAAAGCAACACGTTGATTGGCTACCGCGTCGCTTCTTGCCGCGCGGCAAGCGTTTCCGCTTTCTGTGTGCAGAAGCCAATAAGGTGCCAAGTCATGAGACGCTGAAAATCAGCGTCAACAAGGTGAACGTGGTGGTTTCGCTTTGACGCTAGCGTCAAAGAAATGAAGTTGAATTTGTTTAATATTCAGCGTCGTCGCTGAATCGTCGTTAATCGTCCCAGTACAATCAAACATAGACTTCAAAATACGTAAAATATTAATTATTTTTAAGTAATATCTTCAAGTAGTAATATTTTATATGGAGATATATATATAAATAAAAGATATTATTTCAGAAGATTTTTGCTTGCTAAAAATGAGCGTCGAGCGTTAACGTGAAAAGGCACCTTTACGTTTCCCGCCAACATGGCAAATATGTCGGCGCTCGTGTCATTTCCCGCCAAGCCCCCGCGGCAACTCCGTTACGGCGCAACGAAGTTTTTGTATGGCGGTGTAGAATACTGTAGAAGTGTTTTCCCTGCGGTATCTCGTCTGATTTCTCTCGTCTGGCTGGACTACGACGCGCAAGGATGGGGCAGTCGGACGATATTGAGGATTCGATGTACGGGCGACACCAGGATCTTTGCCAGAAGCTGAATATGGATGCGACCGCCGCGTCCGAGGCCTGGAAATCCTATGAGACTATCCGGCAGAACTACACCCTTGAGGTAGTATTTATCTTGCGATAACGGGACTGTTCCGATGGCAAATTCGATATTGCTTCACGCGAAACGCCGAGAATGTCGGCTCAGTGCGATGTGATCGTTTTCGGGATCTTCCCCGTGAGACGAAGCGTGCGACGTTCTGGCGATTCTTTCACCTTACGGAAGATTATTCAAAGCGCGACAGGGACGAAATTATTTGGCGCGTTAATTCCGACAAGATCGCGTCGTCGAAGTTGCTCGTTGATTGATTCGATTTTCGCGGTATCTGCATGTATTTTTAATATCGCGGAAACCCTAACACTTTAAGATCTTTGCGTTTTTTTATTTCGTAGAACCCCGTTATTTTCTATGAATAATATTACTGCTTTTTTACTTCATTCCCTGATTGATACTTTAATGTGATATATATGTGTATGAGTTATTGATTTAAACAGGATTTGTAATGTATATTTGTAGGGTGACCAGTTGCACTGGATAGGATGTGCAGTATATGTAGCTTGTAGAAAATTCTCTATACCTACAGTAGGAAGACCAGGTACTAATGTAGAAGGCAACTGCGTGTCGCTGACCCGTCTCTTGCAACTGTGTAATCTGCCACTGATACAGTTCTTTACAAAGAGCAAATCTTGGGCAGATATGGCAAATATGCCACAGGACTTTCGTGCCAGGATAGAAAAGCTAGAAGCTAATTTCTCAGTATCCATGGTTATATTTAAAAAATATCAGCCGATATTTGCTGATATATTCAAGGATCCACGAGAGGATACCTCTAGACCACCTAGATCTAGGAGGCACAAAGCGGTGCCCTGTACACCCAGCAGGGTCTTTGAATTCTGCTGGACGCTCTTTATATGCATAAAAGGTGCAATTCATGATATCTCTGACGATCTTGTTAACTCTTACCACCTCTTGCTGGTTTGCTGTGATCTTGTATACAACAACGCTCTATTGGCTAACAGAAAAGACTTGCTGAATCCTAATTTTCCTGGTGAGTATCCTTGGAATGAGTCTTAAAGGAAGCACATGTGTAACAATCATGATCTAACAGGAACAATCCCATCTAATGTTTTCTAATTTACAGGCTTACCAGCAAATTTCAACGATGATAATTATACTTCACCACAAACACCAAATTGCATTATTAATTTGCTGTGTGAGCGTCATGATGCAATTGCTGTTGAGGCTAAAGCCATAAAGGAGTACTGTGTGAAGAATTATATCAACAAGTTATTTAATGAAAGGATCTTGCGTGGTGATCAGTCAAATTTCTCCGGTATGCTAGAGGCGTTGAATTTTGATGGTAATAACAAGGCCATTAACAAATCTTATGAACAGCGTATGCTAAGTGTCGGAGACTTTGATGAAAGAATTTTCTTAGGTAAAATTTACAATTAAATTAAGAGTTTTGTTCTATGCATAGTAATTAGTATTGATGTATGAAATAAAACACATGCATTGTTGTAAGCTTATATTATGATTTTGCATGCTTTCTGCTAGCTTATTTTGCTTCTGTAAATATCTTCATGAATTGATAAGTAAAAATGTATATGCTGCGCATTTAATAATTGTTTGCAACTTGGATTATGTTAAGTCTAAATGAAATTTTAACACATTAACATTATACTCTTTTTTTTTACTTTATTATTTATTATTTGTAATATATATGTATATATACGCACAATTTATACAATGAAGCTATCCGAACTTGTAGATTGTTTCTAGTTGAAAAAAGAAAAGTTAAAAAAGAAGATACATTCCTAGCAACCTATTTAGTTTATTAAGTTTATTTTACTTTTTTTATAAATAAATTTGTGTATTTGCTTTGTCGTGATTGCTTTATAGCGGAATGGAGAAGAGTAAATTTGAGTGATGTATCAAAATCAGATATATTTGACCAAAGTGGTGCTAAGCATGTCCAGTTTAGTAAACATGAAGTCTTACAAGGTGGGTTTATAATATCTTGTGTGTGCTTCTGTTTTGCAAATAATTAAACTAATTTCTTCTGTTTACTAATCACACTTTTCAAATAAAAAGTGCTAGGCTAGTTATAGTTTTCATATTTGCCTGTAGTTTTTCAAGTTACAAGTATAAATTTGATATAAATATATGATTCTTGTTTCAGGCCATGACGCTAATGAAAACATTGGTTCTCCTACGCAAATGATGAACATTGAAGATTTTCACGAACGATTGCAAATGAAGAGAGAACAACATGCTGGGGTAAGTTTTAGAAAGATTATTATATTTATTTTATCTCGATAATAGTAAGCATATTATATTTTTTACATATAATGTCTGCATAACTTAATTTTTTATAGCAGATACAATATTTGGCACCTCCTACGCCATTGACCGGACGTAAATACCTTCGATCGAAGGACATGTCTAATATAACACCAGTGACTACGGCAACTCAAAGTGTTATTAAGTTACAAGCTTTGATAGCTGGACAATCTGCTCCAAGCGAAAGTCTATTACAGATGCTCAAAAACTGTTCTCAAGACGTTAAATCCTTACTTGAGGCAAAAGTTAAACAGATTGGTGAACAATTTTGTGCAAACTATAATAATAATAACGCAAATATCACTAATATAAATAACGGTCCATCTGACTTTGGAAAGAAGCGCCTTCTCATGGGACAAACCCTGTTTTACAAACTTCTAGAAATGATTTTAAACGACGAGAAACGCAAAAAACCGAATGATGACATAACTGTAAGTTTATACAAATGGAGATAATCATAGATAAAAAATTATTGAAGTAGCATTTATTAAGTAGTTTTTATATCTTAATAATTATTTGTTGTAGAATCTTCTTTTGAACGAAGTCTTTATCCAATGCCTTTTTGCCTGCTGTCTTGAAATAGTTATATATTCATACAAAAGCAATGATAAGATATTCCCCTGGATATTGAAGGCTTTGAATCTGGATGCTTACTATTTCTATAAGGTCATAGAAATTATAGTAAGAGCCGAAGATCAATTGTCGCGAGATGTTGTCAAGCACTTGAATCAGATTGAAGAGAAGATTCTGGAGTCCTTGGCTTGGCAAAGTGATAGTCCTTTGTGGCAAACTATCGAGTCTTTGCCGGACGGTGTGCCGAGTTGTGAGGAAGTTTCTTTGCCTGGTACTTTGGAAACTACTGATCCGAACGCTCTTGGTCAACCTGTATTAAGACGGATTGCTTTAGATCGGGAACGTACTCATCATGATGTTCAACAAAGTCCAATTTCATCCGCTTCGGAAAGGTATAATTTATTTAACTGAAAGGACACACACGCACACACACAAAATGATCGAATTTATCCCATAAATGCCACACCTCTCAAGAATCTCGTAAATGACATGAGAAGTCTAAAAGACCCCAGCATGAAAAATGTCTCCTTACTCATTGATTTTTTTATCTTTAGTTATGAAAATTTTTTTCAATGTTCAAGGCTTAGAAAAGAGAATAAAATGCTTATATTGTTAAAATTTCAATTTCAACATAGTATAAAAAATTAAGTAAACTGAGTACTGCTAAGTGTACAAACGGGTACATCGATCACTCAACTATCATCAATGGGAGCATGAGCTCCATTTTTGGCAAGAACATTTGAAAATATATCATTGTAAAGGGTCTGGGGTTCGCTG